TACTCTGCTTCAGTTTTAAAACGTATTTAATTGTCGTCTATATTAATGCCAACCTTTTAGAACTCTTAGATATACAATAGATTTCAGTGCAAACAGTAAATGTTTAGATTTTTCAACACATTGCTTGCATCTTCAGGTCGCAGGGGTCAGGAGTGCGTAACGCACAGATTGCAGGAGACAGGAGTGCGTAATGTACAGAATGCAAGGGGACAGGAAAATGTAATGCATAGATAGAATACAAACGACAGAAGTAAGTTACGCACAAAGTTTCGGAGACAGTAAAAGTAACACACATGGTGCAGTGGGCAGGTGTAAGTAACGCACAGATTTTCAGGGACAGGAGTAAGTAACGCACAGAGTGTCAGGGACAGGAATAATTGATATATAGAGTTCTATTTACAGGAAAAGTAACATATACAGTAGAGTGCTAGGGAAAGGAATAAGTAATGCTCAAAGTGCAGGGAACAGAAAAAGTAACACACAGAGTGCAGAGGATAGGTGTAAATAACAAACAAAATTCCAGGGACAGGAATAAATAACACACAGAGGGGGTATTACTAAGCTGCCAAAGGCAGCCATGTAAATAACGGACCCGAAGTGAAGGGATCCGAACGCCATTCGGCTATTTACTTCAGCCCTGTACAGCTCAAAACAGCTGTACATCGGCTGCCTTCTGCTCCCTTCAGTTCAGCTGAGCCGAAGTAAAGAACACATTCACCTCATCCAATCCAACATCTGGATCCGCTGAGGCGAGCGTTCGGCAGTTCATTCAATGCTGTTTGCCCCTATTCTCATAGTGGCCGAACAGCAGTGAGTGAATAGCCGCGCATTCTGCTCGCTACCTCTTTTAAAAAAAAATTTAAACAGAAAAAAAAAAAAGCCAGCGTGGGGTCCTGCTCCCAAACCATAACAGACCCTTTAGGTCTGGCAGGAATGTTAGAAGGGATCCCCCAGTTAAAAAATTTTTTAAACCATGCGTGAGGTTCCCCCCAAAAGTCATACCAGGTTCTTTATGTGGCCTGGTATGGCGCAGGAAGTGGGGGGCGCTTGCTTGTGTCCTCCTTTCCTGCCCTGCCAGGCCAGTGCCCGGATTAAGTATCTGGTTGTGAATTTTAGGGTGTGGTAAAAGGCCTTGTATGACTTTTGGGGTGAACCCCATACACTTTTTTTTCCTATTTTTAACCAAACCTAAACACATTTTTTTCTTTTTGTGGGCAGAACGGTCTGCTTTTTTCTGTGAAAAACAAAAAAATCCAATTTGCGGACAGAAGAATGCTAAGGTTCTGGAATCCACTTATATAAATCAAAGTTGACAAAAAAATAATTGTTAACCATGACTACATGATGATCACTCCATCCAGGGTCAAACATCAAAAAGGTATGAGTTCTAGCACTTTTGGCTTCCATTGTTTGCCTCTCCATTCATATGGATGAATGGGCCTAATAGAACATTGCACTTAGTCTGCTAAAATTAATCTTTTGCTACTGTTTATATGCATTATGCTGCTGCAGTTACTATCCACCCTTGAGTTTTTGTTATTGTCTTTCTTTCCTCTAAGCTAAGTGCCAATTGCCATGGGATTGCCCTGGGTCCCAATGCCACAACTGCTTGAGGTTTTTTCTTTACGCAGGTGACATATTCTGGTGGCCTGGTATGGCGCAGGAAGTGGGGGGCGCTTGCTTGTCCCCTCCTTTCCTGCCCTGCCAGGCCAGTGCCCATCTGCTAGCCTGTCATACCTGCAGCACAAAGCCATCACCAGCTGTTTAAAATCATGAATTTCCCACTCGTGCACGCACAGGGCGGCGTACATGAGCGGGAGCAAACATTTTAAAAGTTATTATGTTATGACGTTACATTAAGTTATGTATGTTTCCCCAACCACTGCAGCCACTTACTGGCTGCTGTGGCATTATTTACAGTCCCAGCAAAGAGATCAGTTCTCTCCCTTGTTGCAGTTGTCCATCTTTTTTCAGGATGGAGACAGGGAGCTCAGTAACATTACTCTCATTTTCTAAAATATTATTTTCTATAATTAAATAACATTACTCTAATGTTGCTCTTCTGCAGAGTGAAACTGAATCAGAAGTGCGTATTCATGAGCACTTCTGAGTTCAGAGCAGTGCTGGGTGCTGGGGAAGATCGGTAAACATTACTCTAATATTTGCCAATCTCTGGCAGAGTAAAACTGAATTTGAAGTGCTCATTCATGGCTCTGTGTTCTCAGTTTCTTTTTCCACCACAAATGGGAGCAATCAGGGGACTTTTATATCCTTAATGTCTCATTAAAGAGGACCTCTAACAAAGGGTTTTGTCTCCTAGTGAAAGTACTGAAGTAGAAAAAAAAAACACAAACGCCCCTGTGCACATACAATTATTTTGATGTGTTGTGATGCATTACTGCACATGTGTTAAGATTCATTGCGTCCCAGAATCCCATTCTTTTGAATAGACTGCCAACACACCATAACACAGGCCTACAGGGACCATTTACTAACTTTGGAGCATGGGAGCAGTTTTCTGGGCTTCCCGTTTATGTGTCCACTGTAATTGTGTGTCAATCACATAATCGCATTATTGGGGGTCCATCTTACCGGCTCCAGATGTAAATATTGACCTGGGTGCAGCTGGTGCCTACTTGGTCACAGTGATAGGGAGCGCACAATTGAACACACTACTAGCACAAAACACAGACTGTACGCATTTATGTGGTGGCATGGCACAATGCCCACCACCATGCTGCTATATTTATGTGTACAGATAGTGGCAACAGGTTAAAGTGTATGTAAAAGAAAAACATTTATGTCTATACTTACGGTTTTGCATTTCTTTGATTTTCACTTTTATGCAAAAATGCACTATTTAAAATTTACAAATATTTGTTTTTTATTAACATAGATGCAGTTTATCTTTTAGATTTCCTAAGAACTTTGGAAGTTATGTTGTGTGTGTGTGTGCTCGTAATGATTCTAGTGTATTTGAAAATAATGTTACTTTCAAAGCTGTAAGTGAAAAACTGTGAAAAAAAAAGTTGAAAATAGCAAAATTGGTCCAGCCAGCTGAGATGAAAAATGGGAGGCAGCAAAAGGGTTAAAATAGCTTTTAATATACAAATTCACCAATTGAGAATGTGTAAGTAAATGTTTTTGCTGAATGTGTAATGCAGGTACCACGTTATAAATTGGGTGAACATTACAGTAATCACCATTTCCCAATTAAAGGAGAATTATTGGGAGAGTGAAATGAACTCATCCCAATAGTTAAAGCCAACGTGGGACACTACAACTGTCACATGTTGGCTCTATTGATCTAGAACTGAGCGATCACATACCGCTGATCACTCAATTCATGATCTTCCCCCTGCAGAGAGCAGGGATTCCCCCCTCCCATCTCGGGTCCTCCAGAGCTGACTGGTGGGACAGGCAGGGGAGGGGGCGGGCACAGCTCTTCTAGAGAGGCAGAGCCAGCTGTCAATCAGGCAATAGGGTGGGTCCCGACAATATTGTTGGGATCTGTCCCAGTTGCAGTGTGGCTCTGCGCTTTCAGCATATAGCCAGCTGTGCCCGCCCCCTCCACCATCTGTCCCTCCAGTTAACACAGGAGGAACAGAGAAGGGAGGGGGGAATCCCTGCGGGGAGAACATACACTACACATGTGTGCATTTGACATGAGTTCTGAATAAATCCACGATTGATTATCCCTGCGGGGAGCAGCCACTCTCTACAGGGAGAAGATCATAAAGTGAGTGATCAGTGGTATGTGATTTCTCAGTTCTTGATCAATAGAGCAGACGTGTGGCAGTTTCATTGCCGCACTTTGGCTCTAACTATTGGAATGAGTGTATTTCACTCATCCCATAATTCTCCTTTAAACATATACACAGCTATAACAATACTTGCCTTTTCTAAATGACAACAGTAAACATCCAATCATATTTAATATAATTACTTTAGTACATTGGCTATGATTATACATTCAGTTTATGCACAAAAACATACTTAGAAGTGCCTACTTGCTTAAATGCATTTTTAGATTATTCAAATGTTTTGATAATCCAAACATACCTATGAAAAATTAAACTTTAATTTCGTAAAGTGTACGTCTAAGCAAAACTTTTTTTTTAGTGTTTCATAGAGTGGGGAAGGATTAGAACCCCTGATAGGGTTTTACTGCCATGCGGTGAGTGATTTGCACTCTTTCTGTACAAGTGACAATGGTTTCACCAGACATGATCAGAAAGAGTAAATGATTCAAGGCAACACCGACATAAATATAAACAATGTTTAGTAGAGTCGGGGAAGGCTAGAATTTGCCAGCTATTATTGCTGACTGTTTCCATGTTGGAGATTTTTTCCTCTCTATCTGGTGAAGCTGTTGTCAGCAGGGCAGAAAGTGAGGGCAAGTCTCTCTAATGGAGTTTCAGACAGAGGTAAAAAGACAACAGGGGTTTCCTTTCTCTAGTTTTGACTTGACATACACTTTAAGGCTAAACTGAACAAGAAGCAAACGCTTTTGATGGGTTTGCAACATGTATGGGGTATGCTTTGAAATATGACATTGTAGAGTAAATAGTAAAAGCCACAGTTTTGAACTTAATGTGGATGACGATAGATAGAAAACACTGCTTGAGCACATTAGAATAATAATGAGTGCTGCTACTTTATCAAAAAATGTTCTCTTCCACAGACCTCAAAGACCTTATTATAATCTAAGAACTTAGAATAATTGTTATAAACTAATTAAGTTACTTTGTAATAGGCACTGCTATATATATATAGTAGATGCTGGCAGATATTGTATAGATATATATTCTCGTATAATGAACACCATGGTTACAACTAGCTAGTATATAGCTTAAAAAATCTTTTACTGTCTAGTATGTTAGGCAGACAAAATCCATGCCCATATTGAAATAAACATTTTGTATAGTAATAAGCATTTTACCAATGTATTTTTTGTGTGAAATATCAAAATACTACCAAGACATAAAAATTATTCTTACCTGTAAGGGACACCATGAAGCCTTCAAATTCACACAACTCTTTGCCTAGTGTGAAGTACCCAAAGATATTGTTGTGGAAAGAAACACTGCTCCCAAAAATAGTGACAAGTAGATCAGCTACGGCAAGGTTGACCAGTATGTAATTTAGAGGGGACCTCAACTTCTTGTATTTGATTGTTACCACTATAACCATGCCATTAACAAAACAAGCTAAGACCACCACGAAACCCATTAAGACTGCTATAATTGAGTATGTGCTACGAGAGGCAAGGTGAGGCCACTGTGGTCCTTCAAAGGGCCCAGGAATCTTCAGACCTGACATGTATGCTGCCCTCGTTTACTAATTAACTTACTATAACAAGTGGTTTGGAGAATAAAAATAACTGGCCGCATCTAAATGTGAGATTTAGATTTATATAGCCTTGGAGATTTAAAGTTCCAAAGAGGATCTTTTTCTTAAAACATTTTAAGCTTATGATGATGAATCTGTAATCTACTCTCCTTTTCCTTACTTAAATGGAGATCAACTGAGAGAGACACAAGGTAACCTGACTCAAAGACACATAACCTAATTAACAGAGTTAATTATGTGGAAATGTTGTGCTTTTGTTAACAAGATTGGTGCACACAAGAGGATTTGCTGTGTATTAGGTATAGTTCTTTAACGTCTCAATATGTTAGTTAGGAACTTTCCTAGACAGATTTAGGAAACTGTTTTTTTTACCGCAGAAATATATCTAATGGGTATACAACTAGGTTTGGTACTATGCCTTCTACTGTCCTCTGGTCAGCAGTCCATCCCCTGATGGTCACTCTGGTAAACTGGGTGGGTGTGGATTAGGTAGGCTACACCAGGGCTCAAAATTTCAGGCCCTGAGCTACTAGCCAGGCCTTAAGAGTTACTCACCACCAGTTGCCCAACCTAACCCCTTACCCTGCCCCGGCCTTAACTCCGCCAGGTCAGCAGTGTGACGCACAGTAGAGAGGTCAGTAATTTAACGCACAGTAGAGAGGTCAGTAATTTATCAGAAAAGTTTTTATTGGGTTTTCCAACAATACAGAAACTGAAAACATTCAGACATACATTTGCCTGTAGTCGTATCATATACACAATGTGCATTGCTTCCGATACATCTACACAGTGATCGAATATGGCGTGTATACGTCGCCTAGTTAGGCAATGTAGAGGTCAGTAATTTAGCGCACAGTGCAGAGGTCAGTAATTTAGCGCACAGTGCAGAGGTCAGTAATTTAACGCACAGTGCAGAGGTCAGTAATTTAACGCACAGTACAGAGGTCAGTCATTTAACGCACAGTACAGAGGTCAGTCATTTAACGCACAGTACAGAGGTCAGTCATTTAACGCACAGTACAGAGGTCAGTCATTTAACGCAAGGAGGTCAGCAGTGTAAGGCAGAAAGAACAGGACATACAGTGCATATAGCTGACCTGTCCTCTTCCTCTCCTGGTGCTGGTACTGGTGGTGGTACTGGTGCTGGGGGGGGGGGGAGGGGTACAGAGATGTATTCTTCAGGTCCCACGCTGCAAAAATGTCCAGCCAGCCAATAGCAGCTGCAGTCTTCCTCCAGCCTATGGCAGATGAGGTGGGCGGAGGAAGCTGCAGGTGGCCGGAGTGAAGGGAAGACCGATGAACTGATTCTTCTCCTCCTCTCCTGCCGCTGCAGCGGCCAAGCAGAAGAAAAATCAGTGCATCATCTTCACTTCATTCTGGCCACAGAAGACAACTGAAGCGCTCGTTCGCCGCCGCAGAAGCGGTGGTAGTTTCACCCCCGCTGGTCCTGCCGGCGGCTCCCCCTCCCCACATGAATTTCCACTCGCCCTCACGCAATTTCCACTCGCTAATTGCGAGGGGGCGAGTGGAAATTTTGAGCCCTGGGCTACACTATTTACACTCTCTCTCTGTCACCATGAGATGCAGGCTTCATGGTTTCTGAGATTATTATTATATTATACAGTATTTATTGCAGACTTCATTGTTTCTCTGGCACAATAGAAAGAGTCAGGGGAAGTGAACTGTCCATGGCAAGAAGTCCCACTCTGCTGGTAAGGGGGTTCAGTGTTCAGCAGCACAGCCTGGTCCACCTCAGTACCCACTCTATGCCTCTTACTGCTTTTCACACCGCACCACCTCCTGGCTCCTCTGCTCTGAAAACAGCAGCACCTCCTGGCTCCTCTGCTCTGTAAACAGCAGCACCTCCTGGCTCCTGCCTTGTCTTGCCTTTTTTAAATGCAGCGAGTACAAATATTTGAGTTTGTAGTTGTAATCTCCTCCACAGAGGTAGTCAGACCTGTAGAGGAGACTTGGAGCTAATAAGGCTCTACTTTAGGGGACATGGAGCATACAGTATGAGCAATGAGTAATGACAATTTCTCCGGAAGAAATATATAAACACACCAATATTCCAGTTAGAATACACATGCCTCTTGTATTTAGACCGGAGTTGAACTTTAAGGAAATCACAGTAAATGAGAAATAATATTAAAACAACCACAAAGCTAATACCCTTAAATTGACCTTGTTTCTTTTATAGCAAATTTGTTTCCCTGCTTTCACACAAATTGACACTTTGCTTATCTGTTGTACAATATGTTTGCATAGCATATATGTTTGCAAATTCCCTTGCAAAGTGAACAGCCTATTTGCCTTTAGCGAGTCAACCCCATTACCTCTGCTTGGGAGCCACAATCTTGAATGCTGTCGTTCCAAAACAATTGACAGAGAAAGGTTACCTAAATCTTCAATACAACTTTATGTCTAATTTTCATCTATCCTGGTACACAGTCCTACTTAGCTGCAGTAGCCGGCAGTTCTGATAAGATCACAGAAGCATAAAAGGTAATAAGGTCAATTGAAAGGGCAGAAAAGAAGTAGTCTGTCATTCACTTATCTCTCAAAGCTCACTCTTGCCTTGGAAAAAGCAGACCCAGCCTGTCATTTCCTGTTAGTATTATGCACCTTTCAGGCTGGAGGAGATAGGACTAGGCCAAAGAGAGGATTAGTAAGATGTTAGCTAGAGGAGGATCAGAGCTGCTCTAATAATCCAGCCTTCCCTGCTTTTGGAGAAAAAGCTACCTGTTGGAACTGTTCAGAATACGCAACTGGCATCTTTGAAAGTTCTATGTACTTTTCACAGAATTGGTTTTCTTAAAACTAAATAGTTCTCTTTAATTTAGTTTCTGTACATCAGTTAATAGGAATGCACCAAAATTACATTTTTAGACCGAAAACAGAAATTTTGTCAGGCCGAAACAAAAAATTACTTTTTTCCCCCACCTTTTTAAAATGTTTCAAATAATTTTTTTTAAAACTTTACTGTTAGGGGCTTTGGGGAAATATAAGGGGTCTAAACAGCCCCCTGATATTTCTCTTTTAAAATAGAAAAAGAGATTGAGGACACAGATTCTTCAATCTCTTTTTCTACAGCCCCCGTTATAAATGAACAGGAAGCCTCTCTACTGAGTGTTCCTGTCCATTCATAAACTGTGGCGATAGTAACTGTGGTTATAGTAGTTACCATGTCCACAATCATGAATGGACAGGAAGTGATCTAGAGCACTTCCTGTTCATTCATATCTGGGATAGTAACTGTGGTTATAGTAGTTACCATGTCAACAATCATGAATGGATAGGAAGTGATCTAGAGCACTTCCTGTTCATTCATACCTGGGGACATAGTAAACATATTATGTCCTCAGTTATTTACAAACACTCAGTCCTGATTGCTGAGTGCTTGTAGCCCGCTCTCCATCCTGACTCACCTGTCGCAGGAGGCCAAGTGGAGAAGTACGGGAGGACAGCCTTCTCCTCCTCGCACTGCCCTGCTTGACATCCTGAGAGCTGTCTCCTCCCCACACCGCCCCGATCAGCCTCCTGAAAGCTTCTCTCCTCCGCGCTGGGCGCCGGCAGCTGGATCCTCTGTGTCCCCTCGGATCCCCAGTGCCTCTGGTGACACAGGTGGTTGAGAGCAGTGCGGACCTGAGTCGACACAGACTGGCTTCCAGCGGGGAGGAGAGAAGCTGGGGATGCACTGCATTTTTGGCCGTTATGGTACTATGGGCATTTGCTCATAGTACCATCTTCTGCCGAAATATTTTGGTGTCCCAAATTTCGGTACATCTGAATTAGTTAAAGTAGACTTCTGGTGTTCCAGGAAAAGCTACAAGCAAATCCCACTAGTAGATTGTAACAGAGAATCAGTTTTGTAACTGGCAGGGAAGTATCTAGAAACCACAGGACCCCTTAGCAAAATCTCTTGGGGGCCCCTTCTCCAAACAGAAAAAAGAGCCATTGAATAACACATTACTATAGTCATGTGGCACAGGTCCTGAGCTACAACATATATTATTTTTAACCAGAAAAAAATGTTTTTTAATAACCATATAATAAAAGAAATGCACAAAAAGTTGTGTGCATTAACATTGCACCGCATTAAGACAGCTCATTAATGTTAAGCCGTCAACATAATGCTACGCAGTCAAGAAAGGACATGACCCTTTTTTTAAAAACACGTTGTGTATTTTCTTACTACTGTATTAATGCACTGGTTTTTTTTTGGTTTGTGCCAATAGTGGATCAAAATAGACATGCTTGTAAAGTGTTTTTCTTACATCTGAACTTTTGTGTTTTGTCTGTAGATCTACTTTAAATGCCTTGAGATTTTTATATTGCAGTTTCAGTATACAATTGTTTTAAAATGCAATGTTTATTAATATAAATGTTGAAATAAACAGTACTGTTAACAAGTTAGCTTAAGTTGTTATATTTATTTTTCTCATGTTTATAAATATTTTAACAAAGCAGACAAAAAAATACACATTTAGGGTTAATAATACTGAAATACAAAAGTCTGTAGGATGCAGGTTTGACATAGGTCTGCAGCCTTCACATTGTAGCAAAACATTAGTATCAAACATTTAACAAGTCATTGCATAACAACAACACTCTGCATGCAGTGTTACTGTATGTACATGTAAGATAAAAAAGGCTTCGGTAGAAAGTGGACAACACTCCTAAAACAGCCATCCCCTTGTCTAAATATATGTATTGTTTCCTTTTGAACTGAATAGGTAAACATGTTCAGTGACAACTATGCATCAGTGCTCAAGTAGTACTGGCTCTTGCAATCATATAAGGACATACCACTGCCACAGCAGTCCACATGCCTGTATATGGGCCTACCCCATAATTGTAGAACCCCCCTTTCCATGTGCAGCAGCACCTGCAGGACTCAGTTCGCTGGTAACACTGACTGCTATTGAGCTATTCATAAACTAAAGTCAATGAGAAGATCAGAGGCAGGCAGCACCATCAGAACATTCAGTGCTCCAGGTGCAGCCGGTATGTGCTATATAGGCCTATGGAGGTTTCTGGTGTTTGGGTGCTCTACACCATCCCAGGTCTGGATACTGCAGTATGTCTTCTATCAATCTTCAGGTAGGGACATGACTGTAATATATCTGTTGTAGATAAGAAACTGAATGACTGACAACCACCGACAATCACCACTGTGCACATACATTAGTGACAAGAAGTGATGCAGAGAGCTCATGCCCTTCTGTAATTAAGATATAACTGCTATAAATGGAGACAGACTGAGAGTGGCATCTGAGATAAGGGTTTTCAGTTTACCAGGAACCCACATACTGGTAGCTATTTCTTTACTGTTCAGAATGATGCATTGTTGGAAGGTTCCATTCTTAAACGGAATGAATAGTGTTTTCATGGATATGTTACTTGTTTATGCATTATGTAAGATAAATGTTTTCTTTATTTTCTTTTTCGTCAGATAAATCTAAATGATTGCATATTACTTTTTATATTCACCCCTTTGCAGCCAGCCGTTGGCAAGTGCGAGTCTGGTATTCCAGAGTTTTTAGATAGCTGACTTACTGCTGAGCTGTAACTACAGGCCTTAAAAGCAGGATCTCCGTTTACTGAATAAGTCAGCGGAATGATTTAGAGGAGGTACACACTTTTATATTCCTGTCCTGTAAAGACAGTGCAGTCTAGGTCTGATTAAACAGCCCAGTATGTATGCACTGTACACACTGAAACATGAAAACACCTGATATTAAATGATCAGTTGCAAATTAAGCTTGTTCTTTTTTTTCTTTTTTTTTTACAAATAATAAAAATAATGATATAAAATATCAGTTTATAAACTTTGAAACGTTAAAAAAGTGAAAAACAAAACTGACCAAAAAACACAATAGTTTTCTTCTGATTTGTGAAACACAATGGTTATACCCCATCATTTTCTATAATGTTAACAAAGGGGATGCTGCTTTAGAATTTTGTATTTATCACAGAAGCTGCAAATGCTTAGCAGAGAATTACAAATGGCAGCCAGGGCTCTGTGAGTCTCCTGCACACATTTCCGTGCAGCAAAGTGATTTTGTTTGAAAAGAGAATTTTCACAAAGCGTCAACATTTTTTTTTTTTTTTACAAAAGCATTTGTAGTTCCATCAAGGTAATCCTAAATGTCTGCCTTCATTTCAAGGTGTACACCGTAAATCCGATACAGGAGACAGATAGGCAACATAGGAAATCTTTTAAATTTATTAAGCATACCAGCTTTGCATTCAAATAAGAGTCATGCATATTCTCAGCACGTACCACAAATTGTACAAATTATTCAGGACTCGACAAAATATTTTTTTTTTATTTTTTAAATCCACGCAATACAAGATATTTTCACCATTTTCAAAAAATAAATAATTCAGACCATATGTCTAAAAAATAAAGACATTTGTGCGCTCCCATTGTTGAGTCAAAACCTTTTAGAATGTTGAAAAGTCTTTGCACCAAAAAGGAATCGGACACAAAATTATCACATTATGCTCAGGCAGCGCGCTGTCAAAAAATATACAAACTTCAGACAGGATGTGAAATTGTACTAGAGATTAAAGGCTTCTGGAAATATGACACTACTGTGCCAATAGCAGAAAACATGCAGCATTTTTCCAGTACGCATTTCAGAACTATCTTATTCACGCATTGTTTCAACAACCTGTGAATTTTTTCTGGATTTACACAAGTTACAAATTAATATTTATAGGAACACGTTTTATATTTTATGGAACAGATATTTTTATGGAGTCTGTATAGTAGAAATAGACACACTATAGCAAATGAATGTGCATATTAAAGCTTTTGATGTAAATACACAATAATATGCAAAAAATGCTCTCTAGATTATCTAAACTAGTAAACGTGTTTACATGATGTTCTTCTTAATCCATAGCTACCGCTGTATACATGTGCATGGGTATTCATTTACATAATGTGCATGTGTTTGTGCATTTATTTATATATCTGAAATAGCTTTAGCTTAGCTACAGTTATTTCATGACGTATATACATTCAACATTCATATGATAATTTCTACCAATGTAATGCATACAAATTGGATTACAGGAAAAGTTGAGCAGCTATTCATAGCAACCACTCATATTACAGCTGTCATTTTTGAAGTGTGAAATTAAAGTCATGTAATCAACTGGATGCCACTAGCAACATCTCCACTTTTCCTCGTTGTCCAGTGATTCACAGCACTACCATTAATGCAGAAAGATCAGACCTAATTAAATCAAACTGATTTTGCTGTTTTGATAATTCAGATCCCTGAACAACAACTCTGTAATTTTAGCCCTTAGCTTCAAAATTAGTTACACATGGGAATTTAGACTAGTTGGGATGTTGTTGGACTAGTAGTTGGTATCACATAAACATAAAGGTCCATAAAATACTAAATACATGATGCATTGATGTGCTTTGATTTTCAGGGGTATACAATGTCATATTTACACAGCTTTCTAGAAAACAAATAGTTTTATATGTCTTTTTAGAGTACATTTTGAGTTTTCCTGAATCTTTCAAGTCAGGACAGATCCCAGTGTTGTACAGCAGACATACAGACTTTTGTACAGACTGGGAGCTTGGTAGAATGAATGCTGCTGAAGCAGAATGATGAGCAGTAGAAATCCTTTTATTTAGCTATCTCACATCTTTGCAGACAGCAGTATAGATCTTTCAACACAGTTTCCTGCCTGGACATTAGGGTATTTGTTCTCAGACAACATGTTGTTTTATACTTTAACATGAATAAGGACACTGGCAGATCTGGGACAACCATCAGGGCTATTCACAAAAGAGTGAAGGGTTTGGAGAAGGCAGGAGAAGTGAACAATTTGAGCTAAAATAGCTGATTTGGAAAAATTATCCAATTCAGTTGGCTTAACAGTTCCTCTGTGTTGTCCTAGATTGTTCACTTATCCTGCCTTCTCCAAACTCTTCACCCTTTAGTTAATTGCCTTACATGTTACCTTCTTTATCACATGAGTGAACTGCTCTCGAGCACCATTTATTTGATTGTTGGCCGGGACTGCTGAAAGGTGTGCGGAGGGCACCTCCATCAATTGCATCTGCTCTGTTCACTAACTTTAATTCAAGATTAATGTGGACAAATTATGTTGCGCTTGTTTGTGAATACTACACCTCTAATTAGTGTCCTCCTATGTGACTTGAAATTTAATTATTTGGTGGAAACGGTAATTTTGAATCCCGTGTTGTAAGTGAAAAATTATTTTCTACTGATTTTTTGTTATATAATAAAATAAACTAACAAAAATTATTAAATAAATGAACTTAACCTGTGTTTTATTTAGTCTTTTGTTCTATCAATGTTCAATATTTACATTTGGGATGTGCAACAAAACCTTAAAACCGTGTGGTGAGATCTCATGTGCCTCACTTTTCACTTTTCAGAATACCCTTTTGAAAAAGTCTACAAACGACGAAACGCGCTAAGGGCATCCGCTGCTTCCTTG